GAGACCACCAGCAACTTGCTCAAGGTCACACAGCTGGTAAGGGTGTGGCAGGTTGAACACACTTGAACCCTTCAACAACTCTGGTTTGAACTGTGTGGGTCCACTTTATATAAGGCTTTTTTCATTAAATACATTGGAAAATTTTTTGGAGATTTGTGACAATCTGAAAAAACATTTTCTTTTCTCCTACTTTACTGTAAGAATACAGCATATAATACATATACAAAATATGTGTTAATCAACTATGCATGTAATCGATCAGGCTTCTGGTCAACAGTAGGCTGTTAATAGTTAAGTTTTGGGGGGGGTCAAAAGTTACAGGCCAATTTCTGACTGCATGAGGGTAGGTGCCCCCATCCCCAGCATTGGTCAAAGGTCAGCTGTATAGGATCTTAGTGACTAAATTGGGGGCTTTCCCCCTTCTGCCTGTCCTGTCTCCAGAGAAAATCAGTCTTGGGAACTTTACTTTCTCTTAATTGGCAGCATGAACATTTGGCAAGGGGCAGAGTGAAACCACAGACCAGAGTGGACGGGAGAGGAAGGGACAGGGAACACAGCCAGCAGTCAGCGTATCTGAAAGGAAACCTCCTTTGCAGATTATTGCTCTCCAGGCCCCCAAGAATTTCACTTGTCCCACTGCTCGATTTTTCAAGGCCCTTCCTGCGGCCGTTTATTCCCCCAGGTCTTCTTTTTCATGACATTTGTTTCTCCAGAATGATTTCATAATCCTCAGGCTATTTTGTCATCACCGTGAGTTGCTGTGGAAATGATTATTGGGGTTATAAACAAAGAGCTGACCTCAGCTGGGGAGAGGCAGACAAACCCAGCCTCCAGGGCAGATTTCACACGCCTAGGTCACAGGTCACAGTAGGCGGGACCAGGGGACCCAGGCTTGCAACCTTCTTAGAATTGCTCCTCTCACCAGGACTAGTCAGTGACTCTTCACCAGCTTCCTAAACTATCTCTGGATTGTCGGTGCAAACGGTACCAGGGCCAGCTGAACCCAAACCACAGTTACTCCAAGCTTTGGGTTGTAGAGTTTTGTCTCAGGAGAACACACACACACTCACATTTACACACATGCTCTTGACCTAGCCCTCAGTCTCTTCAGCCTCACGCACACCTGCCGCCTGGGGCACAGCAATCCCACAGATCCCCATCTCTCTTCTTCCCATTTAGAACTGGTCTCTCCCAATTCCTCAAACCCCTGACTGTCCTCTTCAGGGGGTGCTATTGGCATTCTGGGTGAGGCAGTCCCAGGTTGTGATGGACTGTCCCATGCTGGGTTCTTACCAGTCAATGGGACAACCAGTACACCCTCGTACATTTCCAGACGTCCCCCACTGGGGCCCTATCCTCACCATAAAGCCTGCCCAATGTGCGTACGCTCACATTGAAAGCAGGGGCTGTGTCTTACTTGAACCACTTTACCCCCAGGCTCCATGCCACGTGGCGTGGTCCTGCAAACCAGCCAGGTCCTCCCTTCAGCAGCGCCTTTCTCCACAGAAACAACAAACGTAAACAGCCACATACAAAGTAGGTTGAAACCAAAGAGGCTGTCGGACTTGGCTGGGAGAACACCAGGCCAGGAACGTGAGCTCCTGGGTCTGAGTCCTCCACTCACATGTAACCCTGGCCAAGACCCTGAACTTCTCTGAGTCTTTTTGCCTCTAAAGTGGAAACCCTGATCTTTAAAGTTTCACTCCAGGTAAAATATTCTAAATGCTCAAGCTTACAGAGACAAATGGGCTGGAGGCCAACAGAGGGAGCAGAGGCCATTCTGTCCAGGTTTCCCAGAGGACTCTGTGGATGTCCGCAGGCAGTGAAGCCTGTGTGTGCTCCGCTCCACTATGCCTGGCCTACCTGAGAATCAGGAAGTGACTTTTGATGAGGAACTAGCGACAGTGCAGGAGCCAAGGAAGAGGCTGAGGGTTGGCTGCGGTGCCGGCGCAAGCAGGGCGGTCCCTGACCGATTTCCGGCTCCCACTCTCCTCCGAGCAGAATGGCCAAGCCCCGGGGGAGCCTGTGAGAAGGAGCCCCTTGGGACTCCACTCCCTCCGCCTCACCTGCCCAGCAAAACTGGCCCTGTTCTCTGGAAGGGCTACCGACCAACCTCAGGATGGGAACGCCAGCTGCCCCGGGAGGTAACGCTCTCTGCACTTCCCAAGAAAATCCTTCCTCCAAGTTCCAACTACATAATGGACCCCCTAAAAACAATGGTGAAGACTCAACTTTGAAATATACCAGAGAATCTGAATGGATGAAAACCCCTTTTCAGGACATGGCCTCAAACATTCCCAAAGTCATTTCCAAATACAATGAAAACAGTTTTTGAAATTTGGCCTCCACAGGAAATCCCAGAGAAACAAGAACAGAGAGTTCTCCACCTCATGACAAAGTTTCACCCTCCTCTGGCACAAAAGACACAGAAACACTCCAGGGCTCTTGATTTTCCATGTACTGAGACAGAAAGGGCTCAGGACCATCCTGGATACACACACACACACACACACACACGAAGACACGAGCACACACACACACACGAAGACACGAGCACACACACTCACTCCCCCACCAACCAAGCCCCTGGCTGCCCTTCCCTGAATTCGGCCTCTATTTCCACCTCCGCAGTCCACTCGTGCCTGGGAGACACATTTTCTGCTGTAGTTCATCCCGGTACCACCACGCTTTCCTGCCTGGCATTTCACAGAGCCTGAGCATAACAGCAAGAAACCCAACAGCCAGACAAGTACGGAGCAGTACAACCAACGTTGCGAGACCAGGCAACAGCCTGCGGGGGAGGGCGCGCGGAGCCTGCGCGGCCAGTCACAGTCCTTTGGAAGGTGCACTTCCAGGACGCCTAAGGGCCGAGGAAGCCGGGGCCCGGGAGCCAAGGGCGCCGCGGGGAAGCGCCAGCGGGTCACGTGCTGCGCCGGAGCCCTGAAGTGCGCTCGCCGGCTGACGTAACTAGTGGAGAATTTAAAAGTCCCAAACTCGGAGGAAATCCAGTGCAGTTTTATGGCCAATCCGCGCGCCGCTGTGGCCCGCCCGGGGTGCCCCCGCGCGCCCGGGGGGACCACCCGACCTCAGGAGGAGCCCAGAGCGGGTGGCGCGGAGCCGGCTGCGGGCGCTCACCCCGGCCACCGGCACGGCCGCCAGCTGGGGGCGGGGACCCCGGCACGGATCCCAGCCGCGGGTAGGGACGCCAACTGCGGGCGAGGACCCGGCCACCGGCGCAGACCCCAACCGCGGGCGGGCACCTCGACCCCGGGCGCGTGTCCCGCCCGGTCCCACCCGACGGAGCCAACCTCCTGGGCAGACGCCTTGGGCCCGCCGGCTCCCCGCAGACTCGCTCCTTTAACAGCAAGGGACACAAATGTATGTTCAGCCCCTCTGAGCCCCTTGGCCAGTTCCTTTCGGGGAATGATAAACTGAGCTTCGGCTACCACTTCTAGCACGCCTTTGTCTGGCAGCCAAGGTCCTGGGGACGCCGGGCTCCTCCCTGACCCGCGGCGCCCGCCCTCCCGTGGCCGCGGCGCACTTACAGGCCCGGGGCGATGGCTGATGGCTCGCGCGGAGTCGCCTTCCTTCGGGGACGCAACTGCCCAAGGGCCCCCGAGCGGCGGCGCGAAGTCTCCCCGGCCCGCCCGGGCCAGAGACTCAAACTTTCCCGGAGCAAAGGCGCGGAGCGGGCGCGGGGACGGCGCGCCTCCCCGAAGGGCTCGGGCAAAGTTGCAGCACAAAAGGCCAATGCCTGGGACTGCGGCGGCGGCCGGGCCAGGCTCCTCCCCCAGCTGCCGGCGCTCCGAGCCGGCCCGCGCGCGGCCAGCTGCCCGCGTAGGGCGCCCGCCGGGCTCTCCTCCCCGGCCAGGAATGCGCGGGGCCGGCCCGCGGCGCGCCCGGGCGCTCCGAGGGGACCGCGAGGCTGTGCGGCGCTCCCCCCGGGCAGCGGAGCCAGTAGGGGACAGAGAGACGGTCGGAGAGACGGACGCGCGTCTCGGCCGCAGCTCCTTAACACACTGCAGACTTCTTCCAGGAGTTTGAGTTAAGAGAATTTGTTACAGTTCTTAGTTTTCCACTACAGGCACCGGTGTGTGAAATGACTGCGAAGACCCATTACAGGCCAGGTGTCCCAACTCTGCGCTCCACGCACGTTTCCTGGGCTGCAGCCAGGTGGGGAGCCCGCCCCAGAAAGATGGGGATGAAATGGTGCCTCGATTGTTCTTGGAACTAAATTCCAGCCCTTCTTCCTTCACCCGCCTAGAACTAAGGCAGCTTAACCACTTGGCCTTAGAGTGCCCTGTGCCCTATAGCTTGCAAAGCTTGTGGACATCCTAGGCTGTTGTACCCTCTGAAGTAGGCAGAGACTAAATCCGAACCACTTACCGCGGCCATATTTCCAGGAGCATGTGTTTTGTGGGGTATTTGTTTTTGTTTCTATTTTTTTCTTTTACAAGGCCCCAAAATCAACTCTGCTAACACAGACGTCACCCAGAAGTGGCACTTACCTGCCCTCACCTTTGCAACAGATCACCTTTTCTCTGGGAATGTCTGCAGCTAGGCCCCAATCAAGAAGAGCCTCTGGCTCTATGTGGACACCAGGCTTCCTATTTTAAGTTTAGTGTCAAGAAAGCATTGCTATATTTTATATGCAGGGACCAAAGGGCAGACTCACAAATGACTCAATGCTTCCTTTCTTCCTCTTAAAGAGACAGCTGCTCAGGGCTTGATGGCCCCAAATGAGAATTCTCTATAGAGTAAAGAAATACTTTTCTGGCCTTCCACTAAAATTTCATTTTTTAAAAAACACCATGCTTCCAAGAGTCACATTTCTCATGGAAATTTAGGTTCCTTATTCACATGTTTGTCATAGGCTCACTGGTATGGTATTAATGTACCCATTTCAAAATGTGATAACTGAGACCCAATTAGGCTAATTTATTAAAATGTATACTACCAGCTATTGGTAAAGTGAGAATTGGAATGTCCTTGTGCCCTAATTCCAGATCATATCCACTTGTATTAAAAAACATACCCCACTCATCATTCTGTGAACTCGAAAAATACTCCAATTAAGCACAGAGCTAAGATGCATTCAAGTGCCATCCTTTTCCCATGAAACAGCCCTTCCCCAGTTGCTGGATACTTCATGATACTGGAAAGGTACTCTGAAATCTACTGGTGTGGTCTGGAGAATGATGCCCCCACCCCACCCCACGGATGTCCTCATCTTAATCCCTGAGATCCACGAATATATTACTTTACATGGCAAAGGGGAATTAAGATTATAAGTGGAATTAAGGTTGTAATCATTTGACCTTGAAATAGGGAGGGTATCCTAGATTATCCAGGTGGGCCCGATGTAATCATAAGGGTCCTTAGATGGGAAAGAGGAGAGTAGAGAAAGGGCGGACAATGGAAGCAGTCAGGGAGAGACTGGAAGATGCTGGCTGTGCTGCTGGCTTTGAAGATGGAGGAAGAGCCTGTGGGTCACAGACGTGGGCAGCCTCTGGAAAAGCAAGGAAGCGCCTTGGTCCCTAGGGCTTCCAGAAGGGAACACAGCCTCCTGACACCATGATTTCAGCCCAGTGAGAGCCGTGTCAGACATTTTACCTATAGAACTGTAAAGAAAATAAATGTGTATTGTCTAAAGGCACTAATTTTGTAGCAATTTATTACAACAGCAATAGGAATCAGATACAATAGGTATCTGGTTATTACTGTGATTAATCTCTTTGAAGGATTTTATGAAAGTACTTTGTATTATCCATACATGTTTCTAGCATCTAATATCGTTCATTGCAGGAGAAATGCTCTGGTTGAGGAAGGCTTGACCCCAGCATGTCTCCAAAGTACCCCCCACGTTCAAACAGTGAATGGTGTTGGGCAGCCAGCATTCAGACAGCATAGGACACACTCATTTAGAAGGTGAAGTCAAGAGCTCCCAGCCAGAAATGTGGCCCAGACTGTAAGCCCCAAGCTGTAGTAAATGGGCATTGCCTTTCTCTTTCTGCTCCGGGCCAGGATAACAGCAGTGCTGATACAGAGGAGGAAATATTCACATTTCTGCTCTCTTGGGATACCTGGAATCTACAGAAAAAGACTGAATCACAGGCAGGAAGGATGTGCTTAGTAATTGCATCCAGGTCTAAATGAATCTTTACATCCTAAGGTTTATTGAGTCTGAGCACAAGGTCAAGGCCTCTGCAGAAATGTAGTGTGTATGAATGTTTTCAGCAAATGCAATAGTGCAACAGCTGTTTAACTATCTTCTCCAGAGTCCTCGGGTTTCTGGAGTTACCTTAAAGGCTGCCTGGAAGGCAACCATAGCGCCTATAATCGGAACTATTCCACTTTCATCTGTTGTATCTTTGGGTTCCACGTAACATTTTGTTTGGAGAAAAGTTTCATTTGGAGGGAAGCCAGGGGGAAGAAAATGTGTAAACAATGCTTTGTAGAAAAGAATTTGTACTATTGGAATCCTGGAATCCAACATGAAACCAAAGGAGATAGACACACCCAAGGTCCAGGCTGCATAGTGACAGAGCAGGTGTCTGTCTGGAAGGAGATTTTTTAAAAACATAAGTAGAGGAAACGTAAGTATATGAAATATATAAGTATAATGAAATATAGTAAGTAGATAATAATACAAGTGGTAGCATATAGACAGGATAAAAGTCTTGAAAGTGATGCATGATTGGTTGACATTGGTAAGCCACTGAACTAAAAAGAGAAGAGAAATGGACCAGGAAAGGAGAAATACAAGGTTCTAGGTAGTGGGAATTAAATCTCTTCTTGAATATACCTGGTAATATTTTACAATAATGAAATATATGATTAAATCATTCAACACATATTTCTTGAGCACCTACATGTATTAAGCATTTCTAGGTGCTGGGATACAGGAGTGAACAGAAGGGACAAAATGCTTACCTCACAAAGAATACCTTTTAAATAAGTACTAGTGGCCACCTACATTAATTACCAAATAAGAGGCAAAGACAGTTAGGGCCATGGCTGTTTTAATCTTTTAATGCCTGTGTGCTGTCTCTTGAACCAGAGCATGGTCTCCTCAAGGGCAGAAAACCAAGGCTTCTCCAGTGCCCACCCAGCTGCTGTGTGGGCTCAGCCTCTGCTGTGCTGACTCTCAGCCTGGTGCTCATCCCTGGCTACCTTTCTGCTCTACCACAAAATATCCAAAAAGGGTATTTTCACCTAGAAAACTACCCCATCATCTGCCAGCTTGAATAGGTGGCAAAATACCTGCCAGGTGGCAGCTTACACCCTGCCTCCCCCACTTATTAATCAGGTAAAGAAAACCAAAAAGATGACTGAAACCTTTTTAAATGGCCACTGTAATATTAGCTAACATGTGCGAGCATTTGCTGCCCAGATGGCACTCTGCTAAGTGGCTTACAGCCTCGCTCCCCATCCTTCCGTGGGCCTGTGATGGGCACTGCTGTTGTTGCAAGCCGACAAACGAGGACACACACTTGGAGTGGGGAAGTCTCTTTCCCTAGCTCACACCGAGCAGAGCCAGGTTCACACCCAGCCTGTGTGTCTGCCAACCCGAACTGCTAACCAGACCACAGTGACAAAGGGCTAAACTCTAGTTATTTTTATCTACTCTGAGCCTATCAGCAGAGAAATAGCCTTGAGGACCCAGGACCAGTGCTGAGCTCTATCGTGTGAGTTCAGCACTTATATGAATAAAATAAGATCCACATCACTGGTGAACTCCAAGGGAGAATGTCTGTTTTCTAGAAGGATTCACTGCCTTGGGATTCTGAGCTAAGTCCTCACATTCCACAAAGGGCTGTCCAAGCAGCAAGGTACATTCCTGGACTGCAACCCAGCAAAACTTAGTTGTAAGGGCAGAGAGAAATATTTGTAGACGGGATGCAGGCCTTCAAAAAATTCAGCCATTACCTCCGCCAATGCGAAGATGAAATGTCAGCCTGAACCCAAAATACATGCAGGAAATGTGCGCGGGCAGCTTTCCACATGACTCCTCAACCTTATCCACAACTTCTAGACATGGCTTTGTAATTTTCCTTGAGTGCAGACAAAGCCCACTTCACACACAGGCTGCATAGCTCCAATGTGCGTTCAGCTGAGCCTGCATTTGAACTTGGCCTAGTCCTAATTTTAAGTCTAATTGACTAAATAGGCATCAAAGCTCTGTCTGCTTTCCTGTCTTTCTGGGCAGAAAAATCATCTTCTCCAGGAGTCAAAGTCAGATGTGTGCGTGACTTCATGGCAATGGTTAAAAAATAGAACATTCAATGAAAGAGCCACAGTGTTGTGAGGGTCTGGTGGGCTGGGGGTGAGGGGTGGTCGCAAGGCTTAGCTCAATCTGCACAATGATATAATTACATAGATGTCTCATCTCCCCACCAGACAAATAAGCATCTAAAGGCTGTCTCTGATTTGCTTCTGCAACCCTTAAACCAGAGGTTCTCAAACTGTGCTACATAATATAATCACTTGGGGGACTTTTCAAGTTCCCTGCATTCAGGCCACACCCATATCAGTTAAATCAGAAACTCTGTGGGAAGCACCCAGGCATGGATATTTTTGACAGCTCCCTAGGAGATGGCAGTGTGCAGCCTGGGTTGAGAACAGTGCCCTAGGTCCTTGCTACTCAAAGTGTGGCCCAAGAACCTAGCAGCTTCTCAAGACTCACTGAACACCTTGTTTGAATGCCTATTCTGACTCAGCAGGTCTGGGGTGGGATCTGAGATTCTACATGTCTAACAGGGTCCCAGTGGTACCAAGGCTGCTGCTGGTGTAAAGAACCGCATTGTGAGTAGCACAGCCAGCAGTGACAGCTTTGCCAACCAGGGTACATTTGTCAATATCTGGGGACATTTTTGATTGTTGTGACTTGGATGTCATTGGCATCTAGTGCTGCTAAACATTTAGTATGCCCAGGACAGCACCCCCCAACAATTACCCAGCCCCAAATGTCAGTAGCGCAGAGGATGATAAGAAACCCTGCCTTGAGCTCCTTGCACAGGACCTTTTTGAGTGAATAAATAAAGGAGTGAATGAATGGTTGCTGTGCTGTTGAACCAGCCTGACCAAGAGATTTTTACTGCTCTTTTGAGCAAAGTAGCAAATAGACATACTCTCCCTCCACTGACAAGATACAATCATCTAGAAACATTTGTTGAGGGCCTAAGATGTGCAATCCATTGCACTAAGGGACAGGACCAGGCCCAGACCCTGGTCCATGGGGGTTCTCTCTCTCAAAAGGCGACAGGCACTAGCCTGTGTCAGCCCTCAGCCGTACTTCCCACATACTGTCAAACTAAATTCTCAGGAGGTAGGAACTCATTTTATGCTCATGTTACAGATGAGGAAACTGAGGCTTCAAGCAATTAAGTAACTTGACCATGATCCTAGAGTGAATAAGTGACAGATCTCTCTAGCTCAAAACACCTAAGCTCTTCTGAAAAGGATGAAATCCTCTATGACAAAGTGTAATACATTTGCCTCAGTCTTATTATGGGGGTCAGATTACAGAAAAGATTCTCAGTATGTGGGCAGGCGGTGGGGAGGAGCTCCTGGGGAGATGGAAAGCTGAGAAAGCTTTACAGGACTACAGTCGCCTAGCCTCTAGAACAAGAGCCATGCTGAACAAGAATGGGGTCAGAGAAAGACAAATACCATAGGATTTCACTTATATCTGGCATCTAAAAAACAAAGCAAATGAACAAACAAACAAAACACAGAAAGAGACCCATAAATACAGAGAATAAACTGGTGTTTGGCAGAGGGGAGGGGTGTGAGGAAACAGGAGAAATAAGTGAAGGGGATTAAGAGGTACAAACCTTCTATTAAAGATTAAATAAACCCCAAGGATGCAAAGTACAGCACAGGGAATAAAGTTGATAATATTGTAATAATTATGCATAGTGACAGGTGTAACTACACTTAACATAGTGAGCATTTAGTAATGCATATAATTGTTGAATCATTATGTTGTACACCTCAAACTAATATAACATTGTATATCACTATGCTTCAATTAAAAATAAACATTAAAAATAAAAAGAATATGGCCCCCTAGAGCCCTGATAGGTGGGCAGGGAGGGGCAGGGCAGGCAGAGTGGTCACCCAGGGTCAAGGGCATGTGAATCTGGCCAGCATCTTTCCGTCACGCCACGCTGAAGTTCCCACCTCTAATGCCTTTAAAGTATGGGCGTGCCTCTGCTTTTACACCTTTCTGCACATTTTTATACCAAAGGAAAAGGGATTTAGAAGGAAGATACAAGATGCTCTTTGTCAGACTTGTAGAACTGGTGGCTTTTCAGGACTGCCAGGCAGGACCAGAAAAGAGTACCAGCTTCCCTCTCTGAGTCAGTTATAGTTCCCAAATGCGAAATGCAAGGGGAATTTCTGAAAAGCAACTCCCAGCCTGTAGTAATGGGGCCATCACTACAGAGTAATTATTCTCCACTGAAGCTGACATATGAACCAAATAAGAGATATAAACAGCAGTTCAACAGGGAGCCTGGTGGTTTCTAACACATAAACTTCCCATCTTCCTGCAAAAACAAAACTCAGCGCTACCATGATCTTTTCAAGCGTCTTCCATCCCAAGGATTCATGGCCCGGCTGTTTGTAAAGAAACTTGAAACAGACTGTTGCATCCGCTCAGGGTTTCCTCAGTAAACTGCTCCACAGACACACACAGCAGGAGACGAAACTGATGTCCGCAGAACCTTTCTCTTGTTGAACTCTAATGGCGGACTGTCCTCCCCGTCTGCGTCTGCACACTCCCCAAGTCGTGGCGACTCAGAGAAGCTGCGATCACTTGGCCAATAGTTTTTTAAAACATTTTTCCTACAGGCCTCCTGCACATATTATTAAGGTGATAATTGCTCTCTACTGTGCCGGGGGCTTTGTTGAAAAGAATGCTAGCCTGGAGGCCAGAAGAACTGCATTCCATGTGAGTTGGACCAGTGGCCCCTGTGACCTCCTTAAAGAAGTCACATACCCTCTTTGGGTTTCAAGTTTCTCATCTGTGAAATGAAGAGGCTGAAGGTCCTGAAGCTCCTTCTCATTCTGGTATTTCAAGACTA